CTATTATATTTTCGATATTATCATTATGCTTAAGGTACTGGTATTTGAAAAAATACTCTAGCCTAATAGGGGAACAATACCTCTAAGTTACAGTGCAAAATACATTGACATGATTATCACATATGCTGCAAATTTTCCTCGCACTGATGTGTTCTACCAAGGTAGGCATCTCACATCGTATAAAGAACTAAAACTCAGTAATGTGGTTTCAACACTGCCATATATATAGGTAGTTAAACTTGGAGAACTACTATAAGTGCATAATAGATCAGATTTCCTAATTGCGGTTCAATTTCTCTTAACATAAGAAATACTATAAGTCTATAAAGAGTCACTAGATCATAGTGCAAATTCCCTTACATTAATAATAATTTTTTTAAGTCGATGATGAAATTCCCCAAGATAATAATAATAATAAATCAGTTTTCAAAAAGCCCCCTTTAAATGGGTCTCTGTATACATACGCTCCTGATTACATCTACATTGATTTTATTTTATTTCTAATATAAACCATTACGTTACTTACCTCAATTATGGCTATCTGTATCCATTGAATGAAAGAAATATAGGCCAAAGTCAGCGTAACATATACTCGCATTATTGTTAGGGTAATCAGTAACTCTTTTGGTACTTACTTGAGCGCAACCAAAAATATGAAGACCCTTTTTATTTCCATTGGATGCACTTTGAAACCAGCAATGATGGGTGAGCAAAAACTAAAATTTTTATAGGTGCATAAAACCATAACAGAATTTCTCAAAGAAAATGCTTCGATCTATAGACTTAATCCGCATGCGTGTATGGAGTGCATATATGTATGCGTATTTGTTGGTGCATGCGTGTATGCAGTAACTTACGCGATCGTGTGTGTTCATATAAAAATTTCAGCGGCATAAGAATGAGGCGATAACAACAACAAATTATGAAACTTCCGTTGAAGGCTTTTAGTATAAAATTTTGCATTTCATGCAGACAGACAATAAAGCAAGATTTCAAAACTATATCATAAAATACAAAAAAAAAACAAAAAAAAAAAAGCAGATGAAAATAAAACCAAAAATTCAAAATGATTTAGCAAAAATTTCAGAAGATTTCTCTCAACCAACTGTTACGATAATGTCAGTGCCTCTCCATAATATCGCACCTCAAGATCGTGTATAGTTTTAATTGCAAAGTAGCAAAATTAATTACTAAATGTCAAAATATCATGAAGTTGGCAAATTTCGGTAGTTCCATTAAGAATGTTAATAGCGTTTTTAATGCAGAATTTGATTAATTACCAAATCACGTGAAACACATCGAGAAGTGCAAGAAAACATTCCAAGCATTGTATCTACAAAATAATATTTTGATATTCATTAATAGGTCAACTTGAATATATAATTTAGAAACTTAAAAAATACACAAACTACACAGAGATATATGCTTATGAATGTATATACTATGGTATATGTACATACTGTATATGTATATTAACAGTTATGCGATTGTACCCATTTCAGTTATTGTCTTCAAATGCTACATTTATGAAGTTTGTGGGTTTTTGTTTTCAGATAAATACTCACAGCAGTGTAGAAGATACTATAAATGGGAATGTTACGATGGCATGGATGGTATGAATGGCTCAGCTTATGTGTACAAAAATTTTTCTTTATCTTTCCGTGTTGTTTTATTTAATAAAAAATTAAAAAAATTAAAATCAAGACAAAATACACAATAAAATGAAAATGTGTAAAAAATAAAAAAAATATAAAATATTATTAAACAATTTACAAATTACCAACTCCCGACAAAACCACTCCCAGAGCATCAACATTTAGGTTCTGTACTTTGTCTTCGGAAGAAGTTACAGAGACAGAGATTGTAACTTTGTCCAAGGTTTTAGCTCATTTTCGGTTGAGTTTGATTTTTTTTTGGACGTTTTTCTTTTCTGACTTTAGCTTCCCATGGGCATTAGCCAACCTTACACAAAAATTATTAATAAAAAGAAGCGAGCATAAAATAAAATAAAGTAAAGAATGTTATAAAAACAAAAAAAAAAAAAACAAAAATTAAATATAAAAGCACTCAGCAGAGGCACAGACTCACTGGCGGTTCATAACAAAACGGAACTCAATTGAGGCGACAAGCCCAGCCCAATTGTATTGGATTTCCCGCTCTTTACTGGACAGCATTAGCATCAGCAGCAGCAGCATCAGCATCAGCAGCATCACAAACCACAACAACAATAACAACAACAATGGCAATAACAGAGCAACAATTATAGCTATATCAGTTGAATGAAGTTAGCAGTACAGCATCAGAAGCCATTGACCAAGAAATGGGTACAACAAGCGTCCCACTTCCCGAGTTTGTGCTCATTTATTATTGTTGTTGTTGTTACTGTTGTTATTGTTGTTGTTGCTGTTGTTGCTGTTGTTGCTGTTGGTACTTCTGTTGCTACATTTTACTACATTTCACTGTGCGCCCTCAGCGCCGAAGTGCCTCAATTGGTAACTTTTCATTTTTGCTGGCTTTTTGTTTTTGTTATTGGAATTTCGTTGTTAAACGTATGCATACTGGTTTTAATTTCTTTTAATTTTTTTTTTTTTGTTGTTTTTGTGTAGATACTTTTTTAATAATTTTTATTTTATTATATCCAACAATACTTAGCAAGTTAAACAGTCGTAGGTTTGTCTGTCTCGTCGGTCTATCTATCTGTACGTCTGTTTATCTGTATGTCTGTCTTTCTGTATATATGCTGGGAAGACAGTTTATAGGTACATGCGTTTGTATCTTCAGTTCGTCTTTCTAGAGATACACTATACACTATTTAGGTATATATTTTATATGCTTCTTGTATCTATTAATCCGCCTTCATCGCCTTCCGCGCACACTGGCTTAGCCGCTTGTTAGCTTCGGTCGTTGTTGTGGTCGCCGCGTATCTTCTTGACATGTTATGCCTTCTTGTTCTTGTTTTGCTTTTGTTGTTGTGCTCATTATCAAAAGCCGTTTTGCTTTACTTCACTTTACTCGGTTGGGTTTTGATTTTTTTTTCTTCCTTGAGAGTTGTGTATTCTTTAAGACATAAAAAATTCTTTTGAATCTTGTGTACTTACAAAATTTTCATTTTTTTCCTTATGAGTTTTTTTTTCACCTTATTTTTTTATTTTCTTATATACAAACAATGCAGATAACTAACCATTGATATACTTACGTACATATCTTTGCTTACATACATACATATATACGTACATATCTTTCATTTCTACGAATTTCTGTCTGTGCTTCATCTTTAAAGTTAATTTTGCAAGCCGGCGAAGTTGGCAGCATAAAATGTTGAGTGGTGTATTAACCTCAAGAATTCAATTAAAGCTTGGAATACAAATTTTCAGAAAATTTTTTTAAAATATTAAAAAAAAATTGAATAATTTTTTATGGCATGCGTAAGAGCCTGTATTTGCACTTGTTATTTTGCGAAACTCTCGTGACCTCAGCAAATTAAATACCGAAAAAAAACATGTAAAGCTCCACTGCTGGGGGCGTAAAATGAGTTTAAAACAGTACCGAAGTCTATGGACACCTTTATGTATTGCGGTATTTTGCATATTTTTTTTAAGAAATTGTTTGCAAAGTGAATGCCGCAGTATATGGGATAAAACAGAAATCAACTTTTTCGGATTTATTACGTCATTTTATATATATTTACATACATATATTTATATTTGTAATATATATTTACATATATATAGATAGTATGTTATATATAAAATAAAAATTAAATTTTTTTGTGTATTGTAGCATTTTTTAAAGTTCATTAATTCGTTTAAATTGATAACATTGAAAATAAAATGTTAGATTTGCACAAATTTTCTTGACAAACTACAAGTTACTTATATCTAAACTAACCTGACTTATCCTAACCTAACTTAACATATTATTATTGAAAAGTATAATTATTATTGTGCCCCTTACTCGGGTTATATTGTTTCTCCAAATTCGATTTCTTTAATGAAAGATTGTATAGAGCCTGCCTTTCCTAGTCTTGAATCTTTATGATCCATGAAACACCTCCTAGGTGTTTCTTCTGCTTATGCATTAGTGCTGGGTACTCCCCAAGCACATGGTATGCAGTTAACTTAACCTTAACTTTACCTTAATAACTTAACATAACCTAGCTTAACCTTACCGATAACTTGAACAAGCGATAAATTGCAGATTTTACAATTGATTACTTGCAGCAATTTTACCCATATGAAATGGTTTAGGCTTGGTTAGGTTGAAAAGGCTAATCTTAACATAATATAAAACACTTATACTTAGAGATAACATAATGTGGTTAATTTGATTAGAATAATAGGTAGTAAATATTCTTCTTATTTAAATAATCATCCATTTTGTGGTTGCTTATGAAATATAGGACTATTCAAATAACCAAATTAAATGGAATTACTTTTGTTTTTGTCTTTTTTTATTTTAAAGAGGTTTGCGAGGAATAGTAAAATGTAATAAAACAGTAAAAAATCACTAATAATGATCAGTGGAAAGATATCTACTTTTTACCAAGCAACCCATTATACGATACCGTCAGTAACTAACAGAATATCATTAACTTGTCGGCTTAATTTCAATATTAATTAAATATTTCAAGTAGTTGGGGTTGTCTCAGTGGTGTCTGGTATTTCTGGAGATATATACTTTATCAGTAAATCCATATGATGTGAGTAAAATAATATATATTAAGTTTATGGTTGTAGAAGATGCGTTCAAAAGCAGACAATTTTCTTTGAAAAATAACTCCAAATTTTTTTTGGGCGATATTAATTACTTTAAGTGGTGCTAACCCCTGAATTTA